ACACACACACACACACACACACACACACACACACACACACACACACACACACACACACACACACACACACACACCCTCTTCCCTTTGCACGCCCCCCCTGACCTCACTCCGCCTGCGCCCGTCCCACGGATTCTGGTGGGTGCGAATCACGAATTCTCCCTGGTGAGAATCGACGCGCGGATTCTCGTGGCGACGCCCTGGCACACGGAATCTCGTGGGCGCACCCTTTTTCCCACGAGTCGTGCTGCGTTTCGCCTCGCCGCAGGAAACGCCCTCCTCTGGTTCCACCCGTCCAGCCCTCATGTGACGACCTGCTCCGGTTCCGCCCGTCCCGCGACTTTTCGTGGGCTCACAACTTCGTGTAACGGCGGGACTGCTGTAACTTTAAAGGGTATAGAGAAGCAATAGATATTGATTATGATTTAGGAATTAGTTATATCACTATGGTGGGTATCATGGTATGAAGACCATGCCTTTAGGAAAGTGTAGATAAGAAAATAAAAAGTTTGGGGTAAAGAGAGTTTATTAAATTAATTACGAGATTAAACACGAAATTAGTAGGAAAGTAGTTGGTTGATGAAAAGATTGTTGATTAGGTTGTTGATTATATGAACAAAGTGATTGAGGATGAATATGGGATTGACGAGATTGATGATTGAAATGACTGTGTTACTACACAACTACGTAATTGACAAATGCAGCTGGCTCCCAGGTGGCCCGGTTGGTGCAAGGTCGCACGGGTGCCCTCCCGGGCGGCGCGGACCAGGACGGGTCTAGGCAGGGGCCCGGGCAGCCCCAAATAATATTATTAATAAAATAAGAACTTCAAAAAAATCTAAAAACAAAATATCTTGTGCAAACTTGCAGTACAAACAACTTTTAGCTGAGGGTCCCATCAAAATTCCTTATTAATTTTAAGATAAAAATAAATGAGGAACCCTCCCTCGACACTACCTCACCTCGCACACCAAAATGTATGAGTTAAGTCTTTCTTGCAAAATATGGATATCGACGTTCCATTCTGGATCACTGATCGTGCCAATTTAAGGAACCCTGAGTACTAGGAATATTGGGAGAACGAACGACTTTTCCTCCGATTGAATTTAAGGCTCCCGACCTACCCTGCCAAACTCAGGACAATCGGTTGTGTGCATGGGACTTTCACACGGCTATCAGACAGAATTCCCAAGTCCTGGATTACCCCGACACCCGCAAGTACCAGTACTACATCACGCCGGGATTCGTCGCCATTGAAACCAACTTCCCTCCATTATATATCCTTCTCCCTTACCACAATCTAACGGTTGTCCCTTGGGAATCGATAGCCCCCTACTGGCCCCAAAGGCCGTGCTCTGAGTGTCGGCAGTACAACACCTATCGAGCCGAAGGATTTGTCCGGCGAACCCGCTCCGAAGCCGAGTGTCGAGAACACAGACTCCGGTTGAGGCCGTCTATGTCAGATTCTGAGATCTGTGACCAGTGTTTACACAGAGAGACACCCACTGTGTTCCCTCCGTACACCGAGTATGAACCAACCCGAGGCGACGAGGCCGGCGGAACTAACCGCTCGACTCTGAGAAGGGCGAAACCAAAGATTTGATCCTACGCTGAACCACTTTCATTCGTGGCCTTGAAACTTGGCACATAAGATCTTTGTTCCGGCCTGGGACTCTACCCCCACTTTCCTAAAATCCTTGGCACACCCCTACTACGCACTTCCGGGCCCCCTCCCACTCCGAAAACAGGAAGTTGCGTTGAGCGTGAGGTTGGTATCGGAGCCGACACGTGTTAAGATTCAGGACTGGCATGTAATTCGGCTCCATAATTAGACCAAGCTGGAGAGCCTAAGCCGAGGACGGTCTAGACAGAGAAACGCGTCAAGGCACGATCCGATAGTAACTCGAAATAGAATGGCGGGTCGACAAGCGGCCGACATGAACGTCAATCAAGCACCAAATGATAATGTGTTGCAAGGCGGGGTAAGCCCCGCTGGACCTATTCCCCCACAGCCTGTACGGGTTCGTCCGCCCGCAGCCCCACCGGACTTCAAGTTGTACCTATTCGATCCTGCACATCACTTGGTCGGAGCATGGTTAGCAACACTTTGTGCACAACAGTACGATAATGATGAAGCCAGGATTAATATCCCAGCACAGTTGGGAGGCAATGCCCATCATTGGTTTAGTATCTACCTTTGGATAGATCTTCGGACATTTGAAAGGGATTTTTTGCACCGATTTGATGATATCCCCTCGGAACAAGCGTTCTTCATGATCGAAGACCGAGTGCAGAAACCTCTCGAGTTCATCACTGAATATCGTAGCCGATTTTACAGACCGTTCGTAAAATCCAAGCGAGATGAAAAGGTCAGGAGAGATCTGTTTATCGATGGGCTTAGGAGCCGCGCGATGCAAGCCAAGCTGCGAAAACAGTTTCCCCTCATTAATCACATCATGCAACAAATCATGGACGCGACAGAAGAGATGGAATGAAAATTTGCCATTAGCTTTCCTGAAGGGGAAGATCACACTAAAGATAGAGACTCTACCGAACAGCTCAGGTGCGAGCGGAATTAGCAGCGCTTCAGGATAAGTTTGAGAACATGGGGTTTATATCAGGCCCTGTCACCTACCTGGAACAAGTGGCAACAAAGGGACCTCTTTCTGATCTAATGATAGGACCATCAACGACAAAAGTTGTTGTACCCTCCACAAGTACAACCGGACGGACGGATGATTCCAGCGCAGTGTTAGAGCTAACAAAAACCTTGATAAATTTAATGCAAGAAAGCCAGAAAGAACAGAAAGAGTACAATGTCAGGATGGAAACGCTGATGCAATCAATGCGCCCTATCACCGTCCGAACCCCAACGTATCCTATCAGAAGCCAACCTGCACAAGAAGTCGGAGGATCCGCGGTAGCACCTGTCGTCAGAGTCGATGGATGCTATACCTGCCATCAACCAGGGCACATAGCTCGGGACTGCCCCCACTGAGCCCCACAGGCTCGGGTAGGAACCGCCCCTGTGGCAGTTGCACCTGTAGCGAATGGACCTGGACAAGTTGGAACAATGGTAGAAGAAACAAATATGATAATGGTCGGTACAACGATCATAGAAGAGGCTCCGTTAATCACTAGTGCTCGGCCAAAGAGTGACAAATGTGGTGTTTTCCCCCACGTCACCATGTGATGCATAACCTTATGCAGCAAGAGGTCATCTTGATCACCATCACAATCTAACAACGAGACTTAGATTCCTAGGAATCTTTTAGATTGGTCCTCATCAATTTTTTTCATACCCCACTCACAGTCTAAAGAGTACCTTGATGGAAATAAGGACACAAATTTGTGTCAATTTACCGACGCCTCAGACAACTCACAATTGCATATATACATCCAGTTCCGTTTTCAAGGCCAACAGTGATTCCATTGTGTTTTCGGTAATTGCAAAGAGGTCATCGGCCAAAGCCTTGACCTTGCAGTTTATCAATCCTAACTGCACACCTTTAATGTGATCCTGTGCTCTGATGTTGTTCAATAACACTTCCATTTGTACTGCAAAAGCAGGGGTGTCAGAGGGTAGCCCTGTCTGAGTGAC